ATTTTACAGAGTAATTTATAGTTTCTACTTTAGGCAATATAAATCAAAGTCTAAAGGAGCCTGTTAATCTTTAAGGCATCAGTGCATCAGGGACTAAAGCTTCAGGAAATAAATATTAACATAAAATCAATTATTTGTGGCACCAGATATCATTGTATATTACATTTGTTGGCCACTTCCATGGAAAATATTTTCTGAAAAGTTATGTACAGTATTGACAAAAACATTACAGCATAAGTTTCACATCATTTTTTAACACTTCATTAAATGGGATAAATCTATCAGGCAAGATTCTCATCTTTACTGTCCCATCAGCTCCACAGGAGAATATGTGATTTGCTGGTCCGGTTTCAATTTGCATGACTCCTGTCCCAATGTTTCTGAAGATGGACTGTCGAGCATGCTCATTGACAAATGTATGCAGAAGATTAAAGGTGGATAAACTCCATACCTGAAAAATGTTATAACATTATTAATGTTGTTATGTTAGTAATGCTTAGGTACTCCAAACTTACTCATAATAATCATTCATTAATGAAAAACCAGACTACTTGGCTTGATTTTTTTTTTTTTGTCAGACAGTAACAGTGTACACCTCCTTTCCTTTTCAAATTATTTATATTAAAAGCAGTACTTCTTATTTAAATATGAAGACAACATTAAGGTAAAAATCAAGGTTGTCCAGTTAAGCACTAATGAGGTAATGCAAAAAGTTAAGGTTGAACAAAGAATGACAGAAGTTGAGACATAACAGATAAGCCACTTGGCTTGCCAAAGCAAGAGTCTGGTCGAGTATTTGGCAGAATAGTTTGAATTCATTCAAATATCTAGAATGGAATTATACCTTCCTCTACTAAGGTAAAATTAAATTACCTTTATGTTGCCCTCTGCAGATCCTGTAACAAAATATTCTTCTGTAGGATCCACTGCAATTGCTTTAATTGGAGAATCATGACTCTGGAAAAGCTGTCGTTGTTGCTTTTGTCGAAGATCAAGGACACAGGTAAATCCTTTTCTGCCGCCTGATAATAAAAGCTGATGTTTTGGAGCATATGCTAGTACAGTTGCCCCACTATCATGGCACACAAAAGCTGAAATCCAAAACAAAAGGAAACTGTTAACCTTTTCTTCAGCTCTAATGGAGTGAAGTAGCAGCAACAGAAATATATGCAGTCACAGAGGATCAGATCACTGGTCCTCTAATTTCTTACCCTATCTGTAATAGTGGCAAATACCATACATTTCCATGGAAGGTACAAAAATCACTAAAGAATTCAATTAAGTAATAGCTTACCCACAGGGAAAGTACTTCTAAATCCCTATAAATATGGGTTATTTTATATCCTGAGAAAAATTCTCATGCTCTCAAATCTTTCTAGGTTTTACCAAGATACTATGCATGTTTTCCACATAAAAGATATATATTAACCATTACTCTAATCCTGCTTAGATCCTTGCCTCAATATTTTATGACAATGAGTTCTCTCTCTCATCTGTGTTGCCTGTCAAATTCACTTGAACATCTCTTTTGTTCTTTACTAGTGAGAACAAGTTTATTATATGGACTATAATAGAAGACAGATTTTAGCTATCATAATTAAGGCTCAGCAGCTTTTGCACTGCTGAATCTGAAGTCAGATGCTGTACATTACCTGAAACCTGACACATTTCTGATGGTACACACTATTTGTAGGTTCTTAAATAATGAAATATTCTCTAAATATTAGAATTGGAAGCCATGCACATTCTATTTTAACCTGGAGTAGTGATTTTAGCAATGGTCTTACACTGGACCTCTAGCAAATAGGATTTTAATTTTTCTATAACAAAGACGACTGATGATATAATATTAAGCACCACCACCAGCTAAACAAACACACAAATAAACATAAGGTCCTTTTAAAGGCCATAGTTATTGTACTGGTACTGAGGTGAACACATATGTAAAACAACAAGAGAAGGAGATAGGTGTCTTTCAGAATATTAAGTGTTGGATGAAACGGTACAAAAAGCTAATGCTATATTAAGTACCACATCAAAGATTAATTATATTTGCACACTTGGCAAATCTGATGTAGAAACAGATATGTAGAACCTTATAACACTATTTCTGTATCACTACATAGACTAATGATGTGCCTTAGAAATTTATCACAGTGAGAGACACCTGTGTGATGCCCCAGAATTAAAGCATTTATAAAGCCAAATGAATGTGCAACAGCAACAGATAGAGGGATCAGCAGCTTTATGAACTGTACTATCTATGGCAGAACGAACAATAGTTTAAGCTAGCTAGAATGAGTAACACCAGCAAAAGATGGGAAGCACTGGATTTGGATAGCTCATACTCTTGCTGATAGCTAATGCTGAAACTAGTGCACCATACATTTACTGCTCTTGGTATCCATGCTAGATCAGAACTAGCATGTGTATTTGTACATGTTGCAACAACACTTGCATTTGGTTGCGTAGCCAGACCCTAAGATGTAATCTTCCAGCACAGACAAGCCCTAAAGACTTGATCTAATAGCAAGGATCATGTACTCGGGTGTTTATTTGGACACCCACAATAGCAAACATTTTAAAGTAACTTACAGTTATTTAAAATTAAAAGGATTCCACTGTCTTAGCTAATTGATTACTTAACCAAGTGCATTTTAATCAACTGCTTAAAAAGGAGGTAACCTTCTAGTAAGGGTAGAATTAATTGTATTCATTATGTTTAAATTAATTATGAGTAAAGCCACGAGATTCCTAAGTAAGGGTATAGACAAATGTAACAGATGCATTTTAACAGTTTTAAAGGGGGAGGAGGAGTTGTCGTTCAGTAGCCTGCATCAGCTATTATACTGTGACTATTATCCTGGCATGATCCTGGGGAATGCAAGTTTGCAAAAATCACCCTAATTGTAACCCTAAGGCTTCTTGCAGACAAAACACAAAACAAAACAAAAATGAAACAAAACGAAAACAAAACAATGCCCTCCCCTGCACTTTACTGGATGGAGCAGCACATTACTTTGAGCCGACTCCATGGCATCTATAATAGATTGGGTGCTTCAGTGGGGCTTTTTGGCACTTTTATCTAAAGCCCATTAAATCAGCTGTTAGATAAAAGTGCCAAGAACCCCCCATTAAAGCTCCCAATCTATACAAATGTTGGGCGAGTCAGGTCCAACTAAGGCGCTGCCTCTTCTGGGCATGTGCTGAACTCAATGCGGGGAGCACACTGAGTTTAAAGCACCGTTTTGTTTTGTTTCTTAACATCTGCAAGCAGCCTTAATGTCAAAGGGTTAAAGTTGGAGTGTGGAACGTTTGTACTGCACTTGCATGGCTACAGAGTCATGCAGATATACTAGACACACCATATCAGTGTATAGCTGTATCTTTCAACATCAATTGTTACATCTGTCTATACCCCAAGGCTAGGGACAGAAGTTGCACATAAACCGTTTTAAGTGATCAGAAACTGATTTAAACCTGTAACAGAACAAGAGTTCAGTGTACATAAACCAGTTTTAAAATGGCTAAAACAAGTTTAGGATAAACCTGGTTGAATGTAATATCCAACTTAACTGATCTGGCACAAACCAGTTTATGGAACTGCTGTCCCAGACCTCCTCCTGGTTTAAGTTAAACCAGAGTCCTCCAGCATCCCAGCATGCTATGCAGCCCTGAACTGGGCTGTGCTCTCTGCTCCAGAAAGCAGGGCTGGACCCACCCCCCTGCTCTCTAGCCTGGGCAGGGATGTAGCCAGACATGTCCTGGCATGGCCCCAATTAAGGCAAATTGGGCAAGGAGGGAGTTAATTCTTCCCTCCTGCCCCTTCCTTCCCCCCCCCCCCCCGGGGTCTGACTGTCTGCAGGTGAGCGGTGGAGGCAGAGGGGATGGCCAGGACCTTGGCTGTGGTCCCCAAGGGCAGAAGGGATGGAGGGAGGAATTACACCCCACTCTGATCCCTTCACCTTAACGGGGCCATGCTGGGACAGTGTCTGGCCACGCCCCTACCGCTGGAGTAGCAAGGGGATAGGGAGGGGCAGCAGCCTCTGTCAAGGTGCCCGGGGGGGGGGTGGAGTATATCCTCCCCCTCCCTCCCTTATCCCACCGGCAGGGACTGCAGCCATTCTGGCATGGCTCCATTAAGGCTAAAGGGGAAGTGAAGGGGTTAATTCTTCCCCCTGCCACTGGGGGGGAGCAGACTCCCTCATCCCCTGTCACCTGCCACTGTGTGGTGCTAGAGGAAGACTCTTCCCCCTCCTTTTCCTCCCCCCCTGCCCCAGGCTGCTGTGGGGTGGGGAGGGGGCCTCTGTATGGTGTTGCCCAGCCTGGCCCAGCTGGGGTGCGGGGAGTGGCTGTCACTGAGCCACAGCCGCTGGGGATGGCCCTGCCCCTGCAGCCCGGGCCGCTTGGCCCAGGCCAAGGCAGCCAAGTGGTGGATGTGGCTCAGGCCACAGAGCTGGGGCCCTCCCCAGTAGCTGCAGTTCAGTGACAGGGAAGCTGAGCCCTGTCAGTGAGAGCAGCCTGGCTCAGTACACATGGGTAGTGGATAGCCGGGTGGCATACAACCCAGGCCAGCTCGGAGGTGCCAGCAGGCTCGGAGCCCAGCAGCCACCCGCCACAGGGGCTTGCTGTGGACTCATTAGCCCCTGCGGCATCTCTGAGCCGGCCCAGGTAGCCCACTGCCTGGCTAGCCACCACCCACGCACGCCAGGCCAGGCTGCTCTCACTGAGAGGGCTCAACTTCCCCATCACTGAACTGCACCTGCTGGGGAGGGCCCTGCCCCTGCGAGCCTGCCCAGCCATGCAGTTGCCTTGGGTGGGGCTGAGCAGGGCTGGCCCAGGCTGCAGGGGCAGGACCATCCTCAGTGGCTGCAGCTCAGTGACAGTCACTCCCCGGCACTCAGGCTGGGCTGGACCAGGCAGCACTGCGCAGAGCCTTTCTCCCTGCCCTGCAGTTAGGGTGGGGGGGACGGAAAAGGGGGAAGAGTCCCACTCTGGGGCCAGTAAGCACTACACAGAGGCCCCCCCCTCCCTGCCCCATGGCAGTGGGGGAGAGGGAGGAGAAGTGGTGGGAAAATGGGGAGAAAGAGTTCCCCTCTGGGGCTGTGCAGTGGAGCTGTGTGCTCAGATTGCTCCCTGCTGCCAGGGAGCTGCTATGGCAGGCAGAGCTCTTCCCCTCCTCCTCCTGCCATGGAGGTCTGGCCATGCCTCCATCTGGCCAACCCTGCAGGCCAAGGCAGGGATTTAAACCCCTCCCTCAGTCATACTCAGGCCTGCCAGGGCCCTGGCCATGCCCTCCTCCCCACTCTGCCAGCTCAACTTCCCTGTGGAAGGGAAGGGAGGGCTACTTTAGCCCCGCCGGGGTTCTGGCCTGGGTCACCGCAGGCATGTGTCTGCATTTCCAGATTGAAAAGGGAATGGCCAACCACTTGCAAATTGGTTCAATCTCTGCAGATTAGACTAACCTGCAAATATTGAGTCAATTCAAGCTCAGGCTTTTTGAATGTCTGTCCCTAGCCTAAGTACGGCATAACATGCAGCCTTTACTGCAGTAGCTATATTATATACATAAGCAGGGAGTTGCTCAATTTATTTTAAAATAAAAGACGGGTTTTGTAGATGGATACTCTCCACTGGCAAGTTGTAACACAAATTGTACCTGCAGAGGGGCAGATCCTCAAATGATGTAAACTGGAATAGCTCCACTGAAGTCAATGAAGCTATTAACAATTTATATCAGCTAAACATCTACTCCAATTTTTAAAACAAATTTCCAAGGTAGTATGGAGAAAGGCTAAGGTAAAAGACACTTTACAAATACATTTAAAACTGATGCCATCTATGTGATTTGTTCAACTTATAAGAAAAACAATTCAGAAACATCTTACAATTTTTAAATGATCCTTTCTTACTGTAACTGATTAATTTTGTTAGTGTTTTTGCTTACCGTGCACTAAACAATTTGCAGGACCAACCAATGTATCCCATAAACATATATTTCTGTAGAAGGGGTAAAAGAGAATGTATTATTTCACTCAACTCAAATGTCAGAGAGAATTATTTATTTTTACACACTTGAGGTTGGTCAGCTTATATGCATTTAATTCTACTTAAATTCAGTATAAAGCAGAAAAGATAATGTTAAGGTTGATAAAGCCCAAATTACTCTTACGAAGCAATTCTCACATCTGTTTAACATGCCTAATATAAAGAAGTACATGAGTAAGGGTGAAAGGGAAGATTACAAGTAATTAATCACCCATTTGGCACTTCATGCATAGATATTCATTAAATACATGAACATACATAACATAAATACACAGTTCAAATACATGCACATTGCACTGTAATCTTTGTTCTTGTGCATGATTCGTGTTAACTAACTGCATGCCTCTGCTGGGCTTGTTCCAAACCCTGTTTCAAAATTTGGGATGGTACAGCCATGGACACAAAAGATTTTAATCTTACAAAAAATGATTTATACTGGGGAGAAGGGACATAGGCAGGGTTTCACTCTGATACCATCATATCCCCAGCTGGTAATGAGAGACAGTTAGAGGTGTTAGTCTGATGCCAGGCAAAAGGCAGAGCAGGGTGGCACCTTATGAACTAATTGGTTTAACATGGCTCCTACGAAGATTAACTGATTGGCAGGGATCCTGGTTTACCGTGATTAAAAAAAAAAAATCACAAATTCTCTGATAAAAACTGCAAAACTGCGAACTGTGATAAAAATCCCCAAAGCTGTGGTTAAAATGAAATGCCCCACACAGCCCTGCTGGTGTCCCTCACTTCCCCTGCCCCACTACAGTCGCCCAGCCCTGCTTGTGCCCCTTGCCTCCCACCCACAGCCCCTGTCCCTCAGGCGCCATGTCTGCAGCCCCCTGGCCCCTGCATTTGTGACCCAGGGCTTGCAGCTGGCTGGGCACTCCAGCCAGGAGGGCGGTGGATGGGGTTGCAGATTCTCTCCTCCTGGCTGGAGAGCCTGGTTAGCTGCAAACCCCTGCTCCTGGCCAGAGTGCCCAATGTGGATGGGGCTCAGGAAGTGTGTGTGTGTGGGGGGTGGGAAACGGCGGTTTGCAGCTGGCCGGGCACTCTGGCCAGGAATGGGGAGGCTGCAAACCCCACCCTCTCTCCTCCCAGCCAAAGTGCCCGGCCGGCTGCAAACCTCCCCTGCTCCCTCAGCCATCTTCCCCCCCCGCAACCCTGCCCCCCAACCCCTAAGCCCCACTTACCTCCAGCAAGAAGAGTGAACCTGAAGCAGTCTCCAGTAAGTGTGAGCATCAGGCCCCTCCTTTCCCCCTCTCCTCCCACTCTGGGCAGGGTTGGGGATTTCTCGCCCCTTTTCAAAACAGCTCTTGCAGGCTGGAATTCAGCAAGCCTGCAGAGCTCTTTGCAAAAGGGGGAAATCCGGGGGTTTCTCTTGTAAAAGGATAAAACCGTGAAATCCGTGGTTTTCTCTGTTTTTCAGTGGGAAACTGAAAACCGGGATCCCTGCTGATTGGTCACTAAAGTGCTGCTCTGACTTCTGTTGGCTGGTACGGACAACCTCAACTGCAGAAATCTTATTTTCACAAGAAGATAACCTGGATCCCAAACAATATCCTACAGGGAAGCATAAAAGAAATACTACTCAGTGTGCGCTCATCATTCAAGTTTAGTTAAGTGAGTTTTTACCTGTTGTCAGTAGACTGTCCAGCTGTGGCTATCAAAGAAGATGAACTGATGAAAACAAAATCATTGGTGGTTTTGTTATGACACTGCCATGTCTGAAAAAATTACAGTACATAGTTAGTAACTATGCCACAAAGACAGTTGTAGTATTAACATGGCACCTGGATTACAAGAATATACACTACATATCGTATTCAAATCAGCAAAGTTAAAGAATGTAAAGCTCAAGACGCACTATATTTATTCCAATGACTGTAAACTGACTTTAAATTCCTTCCCAAAATTTAGTAAAAACTGCATATAAAAATGTTTGATTTCTCCCATCACACTCCCTTTGCAAAGCACTTAAAATGGCTAAATATTTTACATCTAATATCTTTCTTCCTCTCTCCTAATTAAGACATAGGAAAATTAATTATCTTCCAAGTGCAGTTTGTAGATATTATGGTAATACTAATTATTATTATTTTAATTTCAAAGACAAGCTAGCAGTAGAGTTTTAAACTACTAAAGAATCTGAGTAGATTTAAACTATTCTGAAGTAACAAGCAAACAAACCAGACAGTACAAAGCAAGTTTATAGAACTATGTTTATTTTATAGCTTACCAGATATGGTTTGGGGGTGATTCCAGTATGTGGACAACACTTCCAGTTTGTCTGGTATAAACTTATATATCCATCAGCATCAACAATCCCAAACTGAGGAGAGAAATTTATACACAATAGTGCACTATATCAATGCATAAAACTTTGTATGTTATTACATTTAAGATAAATTCTACCACCACCAATTTCATTTCTCCTAATGCACTAATTACTGTGTGCCTAATTTAATTCTGGAAAGTAACTGCTCCAAGACCACTTCCCAATATTATACGGCTTCAAGGCAACTTATCAGCTTATTGTACTACTGTGCTAGGAATAGTAAAATTTCACTGTACATATTATTTCTACAGCTGGACATTACAGTGGAGAAGGAATGGCTAAAGTTAAGGAAAATGGAAGTTTTGGTACCTTCTGGTATTTAGCAGGGGCTTTTTGTTTCTGGGTTTGTTTGTTTTGAGGGGTTGTTTGATTGTTTTTGTTTTTTTAACTAGTCTTAGATTTAATGAAGGCTATTACTAAATCAGCAACCCTCCAAGAACACTGGTTTGGAACAGTAGTGTCCAGACTACAGATATTTTAAATAGTCTGATATTCTTAATACACAAGTACCTACCTCTTAACATACACTGGGATATAAAACTTGCATTTAGTTTTACTGGTTTGAATTTTCAAGTAGATACTGTTCCTGCCAAAAAGTTCTAATTCACCACAAGCAAAGGGTTTAAAAAAATCTGTTTTAACTTACACTTCAGCTATGCTGTTGGCATTCATTTTTTAAATGCCTAAAAAGCAAATATTCAGCAGAGAAGGAAAGCCTTTCAAAAGAGTCATGCTACCCCATTCACAACACTATAATATTGTTATAATTATAAACAGCAAACCAACACAGAAGAACTCTTCTGGATTTACAGGGGGAACACAGGGACTACCAAATGATAATGCATAAGGTGAGTAGAGAGTAATTTTGTACATTACCTTATTTCCCTGATGATTAAATCTCATCCGTGTTACCCTTGAATTGCCACCAGAGCGGAAACATGTAATTTGTTGTGCATGGCCCCATTCAAACATTCTCACACTACCATCCTGAGCGCCTGTCAGGTCTGTAATAGGAAGAAGTTAATTAAATAACCTTTTTGATAAATGCTCTACTAGTTGAACAGAAAAAATGCAGGCTTCATTCAGGAAAAGAATGAGTCACCATATGCCTCAAGAGGGGTGTTTGTGCAAAAACAAGCTTGCAAATCACGCAAAGAACAATCTTATTTCCAACTATTTAGCTGGTCTAATAAAAGATATCACATCTACCCAAAGAACCTTGTCTGACAGACTTTTAGCAGCAGCACAATAATGCTTAATTAATGGTGCTTCAGTCCCCAGTATTCAAGTCTAGTTAAATTCCACTGTCAACACATCTCATTGCCGCCTCTTAGAATTGTTTAAATGGTCAAGTCATAGCAAAACACAAAGCGATTTATTAGGTGACATCAGCATTATACCCCTCCCCCATTTTTCTTCTTCTCTTCTAAAAGGTTTAAATATGCTGCTGTGCTTGTATAAATGAGTAATTTATACAATGTATACATGTATAACAAATACAGTACATTAAGACAGTGCTGGTTAATACAGTGAACTTACAATATGGTAGAGTTGGGTGGGAAGCCATTCTTCTGACATTATTAATAGCCTTCTTGAGCATCTGTTCAAGACAGATAATCAGATAGTTGAATTACATAACTAACAAAACACTTACCGGACTATAGTAATTAGTGATGGGAAATAGGTTTCTCTTTAGAAATTCCTATTGAAAGCAAAATGATTTTATTTTTTTATTTATTTTTTTTTTAAGAAATAGTCATTTAAGTCAATGGAAGCTGAAGTTTCTCCCAATACTGATATATTAAAATATTACAAATTTTTTATTAACCCAGATACATGTAAAGCTTTTTGCTTCATAGATTTACGGCTCTAGGTATAAACACTCCTTAGACTGCAATCTTACCTCTTTTCTTGCCAATTCCTTTCTGATTCCATTAAATTTATTGGAATATTCCTGAATATTGTAAGATAAGCAAAAGAGAGGCAGAAGCAGAAGCATGTAAGAGAGAGGTAAACAGAAGCTTTAACAAAAATAAATAAGAGGGAATATTTGTTTTTTATTTCTATCTAATTTATAATCATTGGCTGAGAAAGAATTAGCATGATTTATGGCCATCCACTAGTAAACTAGTAATATAGCTTACTCCCAAAAAACCAAAGATGTTCAAAAGCAGCTACTGAATTCAGAAGTAAAAATCCCACAGACTTGCAATAATGGCTTTATTCTAAATCCCAAAGACTCCCCCCGAAGTACACTGCTAAAATACTAAGTTGTCACAGGGATAATATGCACCTATGGCTTGAAAAATATTATCAGGCACTAGCCAGAAATATGTCAGCAAAGTGGGGCAGCAGACCATGACCAAGTCAAGTCCAAGAAGAACACCCTGGTTAGAAGCCCAGTTCCACCATACTACCCTCTTAAGGGAGAAGGGAACACAGGATCCATCAATTAACACATTCTGATTAGTAAGAGATGTCAAATCTAAGGCTCCATTTTCTTTACATATTTACTGTCTCTAATCCCCAGAGCTGTCCTGCTGTTTGTGGAGAAGTCTCAACAAGGCTGCTCCTCAGTACCTCGTTAACTACACTACACTGCCATAAACTGGCAAGCACAACAGACAGAACTGTCTACTTGTGTGCTCAAGAAATGAGAGCACATTAGTTTATATTCTGAATATTTTCTTTCTAACCAGAAAGCTTTCTGAAAGCGAGACAGATTAAGTTCTGCAGAAAGTCTGTTGCTTAGACATCTGCAGTCATCAAGATGAGTTACTAATTCTACACTATCAAGAGTCAACGTGGGGAAATTTTTCACACCTTCTTTCGTAACTGTAGAATACCCTGTCATTACTTATTCCTTAGAGCAAAAATAATTTGCATGTAACATAACACACTACCCTTCTTTACTAGTGAGATATACAAATTAAAAGGCAGTGTTATAATGAGTCATCTTTATTTAGCATTATGAAATAAGCTTATATCTCACCTAAGCTATTAGGAAGATCTCTAATACATAGCTCTTCTGGGCATTAAAGCCGTCTTTTTTACTCAATGGAGTGACCTGCTCCCTAGCTGACTAGATTATGAAGCAGACTGGCATCTTTTTAATTACCCAAGTAGGCTCTTGTAGGCTAAGATCAAGTTTATTACAGGATATGTTTTCAGTGTTGGTAGCTGAGCAGCTTCATATTTACCCAGGACGGATGTGTTTCTGAATAAAGCAACAATACAAAAAAGAAGAAAAGAAAAATACTTTTGCCTCCAAATAAGTTCAGTTTCTGCAGGGAACATGAGTGGCAAATTTTAAATGATAGAAAAGGATCTATTCTTGGTAGGATAATGGAAAGAAAATCAATACACCTCATTTAAGTTACTAGGAATAAGTTGTTAGAGACTGAAAGAAGTCAGTGTACTTCCATCAATATTGTTTAAACTTTTAGGTAGAGAAGGTCCAAAAGAAAGTTCCCATCTCTTTTCTTTGTCAAGTTAATGGACAAGTCTGTAAAATAAAATCTACACAAGGACTTGAGAAATCATACATACTGACATTTCATTATGCTAAAATGAAAAAGAGATATGTTATTCTGCAACTGGACTACCAACTATACTTTCTATTCCATAATCAGAACAAATTGGTTGTCAGTTTGCTTATTTCAGAGGTCAGAGGCAGAGAAATATTCCTCAAATACCAGAAGACAGAAGTTGAGAATCTTACACAAGTTCTGCCCCTGTGACATTTATTATTTCCCTGTTCAGCATGGTGCATACATAATACAAAGTACATTCAATTCTAGGAAGAAGTACTCTTTAACTTTCTTTTTTTAGCAATTATTTACAGGACACCTGTTCTACATTAAATGTTTCAGTGGAATTTATCATCAAGTGTTAAGCTATGCTGGAAGACTTTTTGGAACTAGAGTTGGGGAACAAGTCTAAACAGTTGCAGAACAGTACAAATGTTATAAGGCTTTCGGTGCAAGTTCTCTAACATGTTGCTTCACGGCCCCAAAGGGCAATATATGTGAAGGTACGTCATTTTAAAAGCTGCTGACAGTTGAGATTCTGTGGTCTCAAAATTCTTACCGATTATAATGGACGGGTGGGAAAATGAGTGAGGAGAGGCACCTGCTTAGATCCTTTGGGCCTACTCCATAAAAGACTGAAGGTAACAACACAGAACCTGAAATCTGACAATCAGCAAGGTGTCCTAAACACCAGTGTAACTTGTAGTTACACCTGCTTACAAGACAAGTTGATGCACTGCCACAGATGCTTCCACTAAGCTAATCATAAACCCCCTAGGTCAGGTGTCGCTAACCTTCTAGCAGCAGTGGGCCGAAGTAACAGAGTTTGGTTCAGAGGCAGGCCACTCTGCACTCACAAATCCCTCTGCTGCCACTGCACTTCAGACCTATTCGCTCCTGCTTTAATTCCTGCCACTATGAAACTGTTACCAAGACCTTGGCTTCACAGGTAGAATCTGGACTGTAAGCTGGAACCATACCATGTGACCCCTGCCGTTGGTAGCATATTGCTATCTGCTTTATTATGAGGATAGAAATATGGTGCCAAACAGTGGTACAGACACAGATGAAGACATAGACAGGCTCCTCCCTAAAGAATGTGTAGTTTCTCACTCATGCACCACGTATTAGCTTAATGGAAAGGAGAAAGAAGAAAAGCTAAAAACAGGTTTTACAGTCTCTAAAATTAATTTGTTTCTTGATATTACCTTACAAGGTTCCATTACTTTCACCATGCTGTGTGTTTTTAAAGTAATGAAGACAGGCAAAGAAACAAGTGAGAAATTTTACACAGAGTGAGGTAGTAAAAGTTGAGAAAGCAGAAGGAGGAAAAAAAAAATATTGGAAGATTGAACTAACTCCATCTACTGCTTATTACATGAGAAAGAAGGCTAGCAAGAAATCAGGAGAATGAAAGTGGTCTGATGAGGCAGGAAAAGGCACATAGCAATAATAGATACTATGTTACAATAAGTAAGAAGCCATCAAACCATGATGTTGTGTGGATTGTGAAATAGCGCACCTGATCAGAGACCAAATATCTATACCACTGGCTTATTTCACTTTGTGAAAAAAGGGTTGGAGAAGGTGTTTTTCCTCCCAAAAAACTTCTCTTAGAAAAACCTTGGATTGACTGTGCTCACACAAACAGTATGGAAAAAGGGCAAGTAAACACCATCCTTGCATCCATGCTTGGGTTTTTTAACCATGCTTGTAAACCATATCTCCATATGCCCCTCTACATGCACTCAATTACCATTCTCAACTCTTATTCTTAATGTTTTATATATCCAGCTTAATCTACCAATGTTCTTCAAGCTACTTGAAGACATGAAAGCCTAAAAGAACAGCTCATCTCAAGTCTATGCAGATGGGCTGGAAGATGCAGATCTATTTTGGTGCTTCTCGTGACACCTAAAGTGGCTCCAACTAATTATCTTTCAGATAAGCAATAGGACTTATGTTATTACAGCAGGCCTACAATATAGCGATCTTGTGCCGCAGGTGCTCAGAAGACCCCAGTATTCACAGCTTGCTGAAACTGGCACAGCGCTAAGATGGGCTGACCATCTCTCAAGAAAGCTTGGCACTCGCCTACCAAAGAAAGTCTTCTATGGCAAACTGTCAAATGGAGTACGCTTTCATGGCACACCAAAGAAGTGGTACAAGGCACCAAAGAGTTTCGGTATCGATCCAGAGTTGTGGAAGCAAATTGCTCACAACCGTCCATTCTTGAGTTCCCAAATCCAGAACGGAGCATTGGCCTTTGAACAGCAACACGGCAGAAGCAATGTAGAAACTCAACCAAAAAAATGTAAACCTCCTGTCCTCATCGCTCTCCTGCCCCTGCTGCAGCAGATTGTTCAAAGCAAATATTGGACTTAAACGTCACCTACATACTCACATGACCTAGCCTCCTCCCCCATTTGTTCTTTTCCCTTTCCTTTTTTTCTTCTCTCTCTTCTTTCTCCCTCTCTCTTTTCTCCTTCCCTTTTTCTTTCCCACTTTTCTCTCTTCTTCCCTCCCCTCCCTGGATGCAGTTGTCTTCGCCCATGAAGGATGAAAACAAACAATATAAAGAAATACTCATTGTCTGATCAGTTGGATGGAAGGAAGTATTGCCAAAAGCAAATAATCCTCCAAAATGCCACCTATGAAAACTGCATCCCCATGACAACCTGTATCACTGCAGTATTCCCCCTGGATCGAGACTGAACCTGTGTTAGCAACTTCTTATCCAGCTCTTAACTTCATTTCAGATTCAACACACGTATTTGAGATTTAAGGTTCACATGTCTAAGATGTCATCTGATGCTAATGGCCCTACATAGATGGTGAATAGGAAAGGCAAGAAAGGAAGGACTACTCTTTGGGTCATTACTGAGGTAGTATGAATAAACCCAGACTCAGCAAAAGTGTATTAGCAGATAATCAAACTGCAATACAAATAGTTCAATAAAATACCATAAGCATCTGACTCACGTGCATCGTATTGTGAGCTATCTTTGTATAACAAGAGGCCTAACACCTGACTGGTAGGGAACCAAAATATTAGTTAAGCAGGTTCTGCTGGAAATTGTGCACCCCCATCTTGATAACTGTACCCAAGAAAGGTGATAGCACTGTCTTGAGGATTAAAAACCAAACAACGTAAGTACTCCACCATAAGCTATTAGGTAGGAAGCTTAAGAGATTAGTCAAAGCTGGTTATGTAAAGAAATGAGATGAGTTTTCACACAAGGTACTGTGGACATTAAGCCCACTTTGAGAATTATCCCCCTCTTCCCCAAATACAGACTTTAAACTTTTAAAATAGCAGAGGTGACAGTCAAGCTAGTTTTTAAACAGGCTTTTTAAACTCTCTATGCAAGGAAAAAAAAAATCATTCAACCTCCAAACTACACATTACTACCTGGAAGAATAT